TTCATTGCACTGAGAATTGCTGTAGGATTTGCTGAGGTAAAACGGTACACATGTTTACCGCGATAACAGAGTATCAAGGACATAAATGATTGAGACTCGGACGTCTTTTCCCTGACACTTAATACATATCTACTGTCTAGTCTCTACCGGCTAATTTTCAAATGCTAAACTGAAGGCTTTCAGATGATTGGTTCATTCCGTAGCGTGCCTTGCTCCGTGCACGTCTCAAAAAATTCCTGCTCGGTTAACCTAAATCAAAGTTTAATAGTATGCAGCACTAAAATAGTGGGTTATTGAGGTCGTTCTGACCACTTATTCTCTAGCATCTGTTGATTTTCACGATTTCAAACTGACGAAGAGAAAGTATTCCAAATGTAACAAAATGGTGAGTTAACAAACAAGTATAATCGATTACTGAAAATGGCGCTTCGATGTTTAACATTTCTTTTGTTTTGCGAAGGGGTCTGCTTTTCCTGCTGGTCACGCTCTTTGGAGTAAATGGGCGCCCCCCTTTTGGAAAGAAGTAAATTGGCAACTCTAAATGTGGCTGGCGAGTTGAGTTGTGAAACCTAAAAAAAGGATATGTTGAATCCCTTTGTAGTGGTCAAACGCACACACTCGGATCACCATCACGCTTCATTATCGTTCATGCATTTAGCTTCAATGCTTATTTCACAACGAAATAAAAGAGGAGGACACCTTTTGAAGCCGCTATATGTGGCGAGTGCGCCGTTAGTCAAAACAGATCAACTCTTTGAGAGTGACACTCCACATGGTTCTAAACTTGCATTTTGATCGGTGCACTTGCTTCACCAGGAACACATTATAATGGATGCATTGAAGAACGTATTCTCGTGTTTGTTGGTGGAAAAGGGTCTGTGATGCAGATTTGTTCCTGACTTGATTGTTTTCAACAATCAAGCGGTGAATTTGCCAATCAAAGATTAAGAACCTAAGGCTCTATTGTCCCCTCCTCATTGATTCCCCTCCGTTCCCCTGAAAACCATATGATTACCCTCCCTCCCCAAATAAATCTTTGACCACCCCCTTGAGATGATACCAAACTGACTGTCCATTATAACGCGAGTTGACTGCCGGTACAATAGTTCTCATGTTGGACTAATTTTTGACGGCGGTCGGACTAACCGTTTGGGAATTTTAGACAGATTGCCCTTTGCAAGAAAAAGAAAAAAAAGCTACCTAGGATTATTAACAGTGGGTAATGCGTACCCATCAGCCACGCCTATTAAATGCAGAGGGGGAAGGGTAAATTGCGATGTTTTAGCATTCTATTCAAGGGTTGTAGCAATACGCTTAGTCCTTTTATCTGTGTGGGGCCAGGATAAAAGGCATTGTCAGCTACATGGAAATGTCGTATTGACTACTGGATAAGGCGGTCATTATCTATCGCTTAGGGTTTGGATGATTTTGGTTTTGTCTCGATGAAATTTACCAGATCCCCGATAAGGCGCTCTAAAATTCTTATGATTCCCCCACGCTTCCCTCATTGGCGGTAAATTTTCTATATTCTCCCCTTATTCGCTATTGGTGACGACTGATCCCCCCTCCCCATAATTCCATCAGCCCCCCACCCGAACGATGTATATGACCGATCCTAAAGGCTGCGTTCATATTTGATGCTCGAGCACGGTGCCCGAGTACGATTCTTGATGGACACTAATGTGAAAACGGCTTTATTTCAAATAACCACGTCAGAATTCGGGCACCGTGCCCGAGCACAAGATCTTGTACTCGGGCACTGAGCCGGGCATTGAGATATCGGGTGCCCTGTGTCTAAACACAACACCATTTTGTGCCGGTGCCCTGGCACTAATGCTTGGGCACCAAGTGTGAACGCAGCCTAAGCGAAGAAAAACGTAAGATCTATTTCACCAGGTAGTGGTGGTTTTATCTGGTCGATTCTTTGGCTTTCATTGGTTAGTAATTCACCTTCACATCAGCTGTGGATCTCAAGAGAAGAAGCAGAGTATATTGAATTTAATTTAGCAGGAGATTTACAGAGTCAGGTAAAAAAAAAGTTATATTTGTGAATTTTGGCATAAAAGAAAATCTGAGAAAACGAAAACAATGTTTAAAGCATTTTTTTATTCTTTTATTCTCTTTCTTGTAGTTTTAGATTCATTATTTCTGGCTCCCTTTATTACTTGCTTGCAATTTCTTATCCGATTCCCTGTAAGCCATATTTTCTCTTGTTCAATCGTCCGTTCACTCATCCATTCCTGCATCTATCCATCTACCCACCCACTCACCCACCCATCCACCTAGTTCCCCGCTCATTCGTCTATACTCAAGTGCATGCGTGCATGCGTGCGTGCGTGCATTCCGTATGTTTATTCGTGTATTCATTGACTTATTCATTCATGCATGGCTGTACCTGTTTGTTTATTCAGTTGTATGATTATTACTTCCCACCAAAATCGGGTTGTTTCTACGTTTGTTTTACGTTTGCGGTCATGCTTATCTCGTTTCTAGGACCTACCAATTCCATGGAGAGCAATCTTCACGTCTCTTTCATTTGTAACGTATTCAACGCATTCATTTGGCTATTTCATGCTGATATCAGAGCTTCCTTTATTCTATACACAACGACTTCATCTTGATCTTAATCAGGTAAGGCGGGGACTGATTAAAAGTGCCCTCAATCGCCCGAGTGGCAAAATACATTGCATTGCCAGCTACAGGCCATAGATATTAAACTTACATATCGTTCATTCACCTGAATGAAAGTTCAGTGTATCTTGACAACATATGATGCGTCGATCAATTTGAAGCTCCAACATCCCATGGTTGTAGTTAGCGGAGGTTTGAGTCATCGGAACTGGTTTTGAATTCTAATTATCTTATTGATAATTAAACAGGAATCGTGCTTTTAACATTCTTGTACAATCGGCAGTGATTTTTTTATTTGTTTAACATAAGAGCTATTTGATAACGTTTAACTTGGAAAGTTTGGCGTAGGTATTACGTGTTCATAGATGTTATAACGTTCGTATCAAGCGCGATTAAAGGTTGTAGTGGAAGTTCGAGTTATCAGTGTACATTTGAGCCCAGTGAAAGTAAAATTAGTTCGAGTTAGGGGAGTCCTAAAGTACTTAGATCGATTAGTCATGAGATTAAGTGGATTTTATACTTTGTTTACAACGTACTGAACATAATACGCATCATCTGATTGGTCAATTCAGTTTCCAAGTGGAAGCCTTATAAGGTTACAGAGCCTGCATGTAATTAGTATCCGAGAAGACTAGAATATCTATCCATTTCTTGATTATACGCATCATCTGATTGGTCAATTCAGTTTCCAAGCGGAAGCCTTATAAGGTTACAGAGCCTGCATGTAATTAGTATCCGAGAAGACTAGAATATCTATTCATTTCTTGATTATACGCATCATCTGATTGGTAAATTCAGTTTCCAAGCGGATGCCTTATTAGGTTACAGAGCCTGCATGTAATTAGCTATGTCATAAAAACAATAGGATGCATCTTTTTCCCGGGCTCTATGACGTGATAAAACTGCTTTTGATGTTTGGAGAACACCTCCGGCTCGTGATTTATAAGCTTCCTCTTGTTCTCTCAACATCCTGCGTGACTTTATCACGTTATAGGACCTGGAAAAATGTGTTCTAATGCCTAAATATCTTATTTTCTGTAAGCTAAAATCCTCTTGAAAAAATCATCATGAAAATTTTCAGGGACTCCTCGGATTTGGGTTCACAGTACGACATGATCTATTCTGTTGTCGCACCGCTTCTCTGGAGCAGTCTTTCTCAGCATGTTAGGGATGCTGGATCACTTGACATCAAGTTAAAAGACGGCATAAAACCGCTCTTTTTACACGTGCTTTTTAAATTCATAAAATGATCTTGGTGTTTTTATAATCTTAACTAACTGTAATTATTTTAAACTATTTTTGAACTGTGACTTTGTAAATAGCGCCTTTGGAACCATGGAAAAGGGCGCTCTATAAATGTCTTATTATTATTAATGTCTTATTATTATTATCAGACCTGGATTGCATCGTCCATACCTCATATGGTCACACTGGCGATGTTAAATCTCGGTGGTCAAATAGCTGATTATCTTCGCAAGCATCATTTGAAAACAGGAACTGTGAGAAAGATCTTCAATACATTTGGTAAATAACTCTTACTGGCAGTCAATTTATGTAGTCCACGCTTTATAATCTAGTGCTCTGCTGGAAACGAATGATTCGTCCTCCTTTCCTCTTGTAAACTATGTGATGCCCGAAAAATTTTCAGTCCAAACCTCCCTCGTTTTTCACTCCTTCGCCACCATAGCGCTGTTCACTATTGTGCTTCGTTTCACTAACTGAACTGCTGGATCAGGCTAATCTCACCATTACTCCTTCCCTCAGCCCTTCCCCTTTCCCCCACCTTCCTTCACTCCCTCCATACTCACCTCACCATCGTACCCTCCTTCCACGCTCGAAGCCTAGTTTAGCCTGAACAGATTGTAACCTCACGTTGACACGCTTACACGATTTCCTGTTTTTCAACAGACGGTCCTAGAATGAAATATCTTTTTTTTTTTTTTCATCCCCGCAGGGATGTATGCTTTTGGTGCCACACTCTTTGTCATTTTTGGCTCAGGTGAAAAACAGTCGTGGGTGACTAACGCGGGATAGAATAAGTTACCAGAGGAAAATCCAGATGAAGTCCAAAGGCGTCGTCAACAGAATATACAGCGCGGGACTATAGAAATTGACTGGCAATTAACTGCTAACGGAGGGGGAGGAGGGAAGGTCATATGAATATTGCAGAGCATTGTGGGTAAATTTTATCGAGACACAACTAAAATTCTCCGACCTCCCCACTCCCTTAAAGCGATAAATAATGATCGGTCTCTTATCAAGTTCTGGTATGCATTTATATGCATAAGAGAAATGTAAATCAGCAGAACATTTGCTGTTGTTGACAAGCTTTGCCGATAGCGTATTTTACGGAGTACTCTACCTCAATCTGAACAAGGAAAATGATTTGCTTGATGCTTTAAGATGGTGTACAGTGAAGAAGTTATTTTTTCCAGACAGTAAGGAACGAAGGCTAACTGTAAAGAGACATTTTAGGCGACAAGGGAGTGGCATCAAACAGGGTGGTGCTTGTGGGTTCATCAACAAATTCTTTAGAATGTTTGTTCGGGAGACGTTTTGCCGAAGAAATTTTCTTTCTCTTCAAACAGTACAGTATTTTTTTAATCGACCATCGAAAATAGCGAGCCTGTCAAATGAAGGATTGGATTCAGTAGCTGAGCTCCAGAGAGCAAAATAAACCAACATTTTTTTTCTAACGATTCCAGACGTTGAAAAACAAAAAATCCAACAGCATGACAACTTATATCTAATAGAACTTATGAACTCATCGAGCGAGAGTGTTTCAGTTGTTTGTAATCGAAATCAAGTGACATTTGTGAGTCAGTTCTTCGCGATAACTATGTAGGCATGAACGTAATCCATCCCATGATCCTCCGGATGCTTGGCAACAAGATCTTCGTAACGTTTGAAGAATTCATCAACAATGGCGTCCTTCTCCTCTTGAGAGCGAGAGTCCGAGAGGCCTGTGGGAACGTTATTGAAACCAGATAGATTAGTCACTATACTTGGGAGAGGGGGTGTGTACGATTAACATACAGTAACCTCCCCGCCTCGATTAAGCTCCTTCTCTAACAGTATTGAGGTAATCATGTCATTTTTGATACTTATAAGGAAGACTACAACATGAAAAATGATGTCTTACCAGACATAAATGTTGCATTGCTCCAAGTCCTTGTCGTAGGAATGAACCAACGCGCGTGCGCTTTAGGATCACCACCGTTCTTGAGCCATTTTTCTCTGTAAGGGCAGGATACCACTTTGGTTTCTATGGAAACGAGTGACAAACCAGCTTTTCGAACGGGTGAGTCCGCTGATTCAAATGGTTTCTTAAACTCCTTTACCGTGCGATAGTAGTTTATAAATGTCGTCTTGTTGAATTCTTCCTGATTGAAAAAATAATAAAAGTAGAAATCACTGAGCACTTAAAATTCATTACAAGACCTAAAATATCGATTGCGTTTCGGTCAACCATATGTACGTTTATGAAGAGATCAATAATTTTCTCCTTAAACATCGGAAAGTTAAAGTCTCACCAGCTGTTTCGGTAAATGGAATAATGAACCTCAAAAGCCAAACAGTTGCTGAAATAATAATTACGAAGGAGTCTCTAGGAATTCGGAAACAAAATCGCGTTGATTGATAAGTTTAGTGCCGTTGTTGCTTTCTCTTATGCAGAGTTCAAGTGCTTGCTTAGTTACAAAATCGCAGAGTTTCTCAATATACTGTAATGACAACTAAGAATACCAACGCAGTTGTTTTATACCATTTGAACATGAACGCACTTTCGTACCCCTAAAATCCGAGAAACTGAAAATAGCAAAGAGTGCAATGCGAAATAGGTATGAATAAGGGTCCACATTCTGCGGCCAGTACATAGTATGCCGCGCGAGAGGACCAGAGGTCCCTGTGGTCCACATTCTGCGGCCAGTACATGGTATGCCGCGCGAGAGGACCAGAGGTCCCTGTGGTCCACATTCTGCGGCCAGTACATGGTATGCCGCGCGAGAGGACCAGAGGTCCCTGTGGTCCACATTCTGCGGCCAGTACATGGTATGCCGCGCGAGAGGACCAGAGGTCCCTGTGGTCCACATTCTGCGGCCAGTACATGGTATGCCGCGCGAGAGGACCAGAGGTCCCTGTGGTCCACATTCTGCGGCCAGTACATGGTATGCCGCGCGAGAGGACCAGAGGTCCCTGTGGTCCACATTCTGCGGCCAGTACATGGTATGCCGCGCGAGAGGACCAGAGGTCCCTGTGGTCCACATTCTGCGGCCAGTACATGGTATGCCGCGCGAGAGGACCAGAGGTCCCTGTGGTCCACATTCTGCGGCCAGTACATGGTATGCCGCGCGAGAGGACCAGAGGTCCCTGTGATANTGACGAGGCGAAGGAGGACATTTCTTTAGGTCACCATTGCCCTCTGCGCATGCATAGTCTGACGTAAGACGCCCATGGTAATAATCAGTCAGTGTTAGGATGGGTCAGTCTATTGTTATCATGTACATGTGGGATGGGACTTGTCACCGCGTTATCCGTGGTGAGCTTATGTCCTACGTAAAAGGAAGGGGGGTGGGAGTAGGCCTTTATAGATTATGTTAGTAAAAGTAGCATATTATGCTAGTAGCATTGCTTTTTTTGGCGAATTTATGCTAAAATTATGCTCTTTTTTCCAAATTATGCCCCTTTGTTTAAAATTATGCTCTTTGAAAAAATTGCAAATAAGTCCAAAAACAATTTTTTTTAATTAGAAGCCATTGGTCTACAAGAGAGAAACGCAACAAATCCACAATGAAATACAAATAAATATGTGGTTCATGTAAACATGCACACCAATATGACCTACAATGTGACTTCCGGTTCCGGTGCACCCCAGACCCGGGTTCAGACAGTTTCAGACGCCACTCAGGGATTCACAGTGAACTACAAATTCTACTACTTGAACTAAAACTTAAAACATCGAATAACGTCACCAAGTGCTTGGGAGTAGAGTTGAACAATGATCAAATTGTAGCATAAAATATGATCTGATAGTTATCAAAATATGCGAATCATGCTAGCATTGCTACTTGGCAGAAATTATGCCAGTTTGCTCAAATTATCCCAAAAATTATGCTAGCATAATCTATAAAGGCCTAGGTGGGAGTGAGAAGGGAAGAGGCACTTTAGTTCTGACCTGTGTTATGACACCATCGTGAACTAATAGTTTCCATAAATCTCTCATTGTGTGATGCATGGAGGCTGGTGTGTTCTTCGTTGTCCCAAGGTGCTGTCCTTCGTCGTCAACTACGAATTGCACAAGAACCATCCTGCCACCTGAAGAGTAATGTAAAGACTGACGTTAACCGTAAGATGGCTTGGACGAGGAGCGGACGAGGGGAAAACTGCAGATGACTGTACCGGCCTCTAAATAATTCAACCTCTGGTAACTAAATGATTCGCAGTTACAATAGACATTAGGTGGGAGGGGGAGGAGAATTTTCGGGGAATCACATGGTTTTCAATGGAAAGGGAGGGAGATCAATTGTATCTAACAGCGTTTAAAGGGGGGGTGTGTCCATGGAAAATTACTGCAAATGAGGGGGAGGGTCATAAAAAAAATTGCAGAGCCTCTTAATGACAGGTCCCTTAAAGGCAGAAAGTCCTTACAGAGAATTCCCACCACTCTGAATTGGTCGGTTACCGTAAGGGTTCAAGAGTCCGAATGGAAAGTTTGACTAACAGTAACAAAACAGAAGACATCGAGATTATATTTCTCTGAATTCAAAACAGTGCCATAAATGAACCATCTAAGGCCTTGTGTAATACTGAACCAAAGATTATCCTTGATACTTTACAAAGTTACCATTCTACGGTCACAAAACCCTTTCATCACAATTGATAAAATGATGCGCGATCCCCTAAAATCATACTTGGTGCTAGTTCTTTCGCTCTCGCCAGCAGCAAAGTTTCCCAGTCCTTTGCGGCCTGATTCCTAAATTTCTCGGCCTCCTCCGGAAGGGTGATCATGGTGTGATGTAACGCCCCTGTTAAGCTGCACGGTTTTTCACGGAGCCAGTGCATTGCAGTGGATGAAAATAGCAAATTCAGAGACTCAGGAGGCAGACATTGACTGTAGAAGCTTGTGCCGCACGCTGCGACGAATACGTTGGAGAAATCTAAAACGTAACTTTTTGGGCCTGGTATTAGACCTGCGAAGAAGAGATATAAGAATTATGGACCCCAATGAGCTGGTTCTTCATTCTAAAGCATGCAGAGCAGGCGTCAATATTTTGTGTTTGTATTCGAGCGAAAGAGTATGAAGAGCGAGTCAAGCACCAGAGAAGGCTCAAGCGTGGACCAGGGACTTAAACCCTTTCGTAGGTCAAAGTGAAGCTTTAAATCTTCAAAGACTAACCCTGCAGACGAAGGAAAAAGGACTTGAAATCGTTGACTGGTTGATCCTCGTAAATCACTTGAATGGGCAAATCGTCACCATGAATTTTTCGTAATTCTTTAACGCATGCGTAGAGCAATGGCATAGAGGTGCCCCCGTCTGCACATCCGTAGTCCGCGATAGTAAAAGCCGACCCAGGCCTCAGCAAAACTGATTTGACACTCTCCAATACTAGAGGCGCGGACTCTAAGATCACATTATAACATCCAATGGTGTTATCTGAGTAGAACCCAGACCCATCTGTGCCATACGGGATGTGACTATGAGGAGACTGCTAAACCGTTAAAAGATAATATTAGGCAATAAGTTTTTACTTTCAACACCTTGATCTCACAAACTTCCTTTCTTCCTGGTCTGCCTATGGACCCACCCGACGAAGGCCACACGAGTCTTACAGCTAAAAGCATCGCGGCAAAACTATCCAATCATTTTTCTCGCTCTAGACCCGTGGCGTACTCGTGACAAACGACTCTCCATTTGACTCCAATGAGGATATCCTCTCATTGAAACGTCATGTACACATGTCACAACTGTGCATGTGTTTGTGAGAACTGCTCCCACCCGTATGATTGCTCTACAAGATCGACTTCTTACTTGGTAGTAGCTGGGTTTATGCAAGTAATACACCTGGAGTACGGTAAATCCTTCCCTGATCACATTTAAGCTTTAAGTACATGCATAAAATGAAAAAGCACCCACAAACTTTTCACCACTCGCAGACATCGTACTCCTTTAAAAGTCTTCTTATTATTGTTTCTTTCCTTGTTATCCCTGTCCAAATTTGAAGAATATAGTTTCACACATCACTGATAATTGCAAAATTTCTCAGTACTTGAACTGCACGCTCAACTTTTACAATTGTGTCTAATGAAAATTTTGCGCTTGCCTCGCCTCCCAGAGTTCACGTGGCGCCTGCTTAATTCTCTAGCTCGTTAAGGAAGCACGTAGCTTCGTCTAGTAACACCTGACTAGCCTTTGAGTTTGGATACACATTGTTTTAAGAACGTTAATAATTTAGCACAGTACTCATTCGATTGTATCAACGTTAAGGACTTGAGGTACATGGACGTGACCGTCTGACTGAGATGCGAATCGTTTTGATTCCTCTGATATTTGCATAGCTGGACGACTCAAATCGTACAGCGTGGAATCCAGAATCCAATTTTGTCCTGGATTACCACACAAGGGGCGACAAGTAACTAGGACTGAGAAATGACACAAATTCGGGATGTAAAGCTTTCATCCTAGTTCAGCACCGATTTATTCTCGAAGTTCTTAATCATGAGATCGCGTGACAAAGCATGTAACTGAGATTTTCGAGCCAGAGGAGAAACAAAAGCTTACATCCTCCCAAAACTCGTTTTATTTTTTTCTGAATGATCGAGTCTTGAATAATATTGGACAAATGATACCTAAAGAATATATCCCCTCTTCAAATGTCCTTTGAGCGGGACTGTGTCATGTTGCGTACGTTTGAAACTCGAAGATCCCATGTGTTCGATAGTTATCCAGGCGCCATTCCGTTTATAAGTTACGTTTCCATCAACAATCGAATCGAAAATATTTATCTTGCATTTTCTCTCGTTTCAACGTCTAACACTGGACTGTATCGCCGCGATCAATTGCTGTACACACAGTCATAGTTTTGTCCGACTGTAGATAACAGTAAATTGCATATTCAAACAGAACTCGTGGTTTAAAACGGTGTCTTAAATTAAGCGGATCGCAGTAGATATGTTACCGTACCTTAAATCCTTTCAGCTATACTGTTCTTGAAGCGATCAGTCGTGTTCTTTTCCTTGACTGTTAAAATTATCATGAACATTGAAAATGAAATAACGCTCATAAATACTTTATTATGCGTTACGGCATCTGTTGCATGACAGCAGCTTTACGTCAATGACGAACTTTCTAAATCGGTAACACTGTCCACCGTCGAACTTTTACCATTCGATTCCTTCGCCAGCGGCCTTTGCTTTTATTAACAGGAATTAGAATTTAATTTGGTAAGTTATGATCTGTTAGTTCTCAAATATGGCCCGGTCCTTCAACAACCGACACAAATTTATTCCCCGCAAGAATACAAAACTACTGTGTTGATTTATGGTTTATTAATTGTTCATTGTAACAAGGTGTAGGAAATTACAAAGAGTTTGAAATTCTTTACAAATATTTTTTCTCTTAAGGTGAAAGCAGGTGCTATTTCTTCGACACCCACATTTGATTTGCGGTTGCAGATATTTTCCTTTTTTCTTCATTTTTTTCTCAGTTTTTTTTTTTTTTTATTTCGTTCATTGTTTTCACAATTTATCTCACCCTGATCTTTCTCCTTAAGCCTTATGCTTTTTTCTTTTTTCTTTTTCGGAAACATCGCAAAGGCTATCACTGTGGAAAGTGACCTTAGTGATATGAAGAAAAAAATCGTCGTGGTGTGAAAAGGATGGCAGGGATAATGAGCATCGTGACGAAATAAATTGATTTCCAGTTTGAGGTTGCTTGCGTTTGAGTGAGAGAGAAAGAGAGAGAGAGAGAGAGAGTTCAAGACAATTTACATTTTGTTAGATTTATTCGTAGGCACAAATCAAGCTCATTCCGTAAATTAATAATAAACCGTAAAACAGGTAGAACGCAATTCATATCAAATAACCGCGCCTAATAAGCCAAGCAAGATTCTGGGAGAACACGATGAAAGTTTGAATATATATCAAAAATCAAGGTCGGAAAACAGCAGCACCTTGTTAACTCAAAATTTCTATGGAAAAAAAAAAACAGATCGAGTGTCAACTGTAGGTAATGACCAGAAGCTTTGAATTTGTAATGACTAAAACATGCTGATAATCACTGAGCAAAATGTTTTAAGTTAAAGCTTCTTTAAGTTCCAGTTCAGTGATATTTCTAAAACTTACGACACTGATTTGCTGTCTTCTCTATTGAAGTTCTTTAAGTTGAAAATCTGTTTATAAAAGCGAGGCATCCACCTTCGTTTTATAAATGAATGAATCAGACATAAGAACTCCGTGTCAATTATTTTGAACCCGTCTTTTGAAGTCGGAAAACTCATTTGAATTACAAATAATTTTTTAAATTAATATTCATCTCTACGCTCAGCCTTGCACGTGGAAAGAGCTTACGAGAAAGGGAATTACCATTGTTACCATTGTCGAGAAAGGGAATTACCATTGTTCTCTCTTTGTTTAGGAGTCATTGGTTAGCTGTTGTGTATTGTTCGGTCTTTTGTATCGGCTCTTGTGAACCGGTACACGAGGACAGAACCTGGAAAGAGCTTACGAACTACATGAAACTTAGTGTCTTTTTTAGCTTCTATAAAGTGAAGAAACAAGTCAATCCGACCGTGCTACCTTGGATATTGTCAGTTCTATTCCGGTCAGCGAGTGTTTCTTACGCTGGATCAAGTGGTTCAGATACCATGTCGAGGATTCATGCTTCTCACTTTGTCACGACTTATCTTCAGGTAAATAACTTATGGAAGGATACTTTGGGTAAAAATACAATGTTCATCTTTCTCGATGTGGCTCTTGTGAAATAAATTTATGGATCCAAATGACAGAAGGAAGGGTGTGATGCACACAGCACAATTTAGAACAAATCCTGAGCTTGGTGGCAACCGCTATGACAGTTCTTCTTTCACGTGACTTTTATGGCAATGCTAGAAGTCGTACTTCATTGCAATTTTTCTTTTACTAATCGCATATTTTCTTATTTCTCTTTTTTATCCCTGTACATATCTTTTAACAAGCTTTTATTATTACTGTGTGCATGTTGACCTCAAGTGTGTCTTAAACGCACTTGGTCTTCGCCTTGTCGTCCAACCCCGCCAAAGAAGGTAATCGTGAAAAAACGTCCGGCTCATAACATAGACTCAAGTTTCTGGTTACCAGAGGATTGCTTACCCTCTCTCATACAGAGGCCGCAGTATTACATTAAATTGAATTATTATTAAATTATTACTAAATTATTATTAAATTATTACAAGAATAGTATGCTTGTCAATTAGCCATGTCGTTCTAAGCTACAGTGGAACCTCGAATTTAGCGAAGTGCTGGGGGGCTGGGGAAATTGGTTCGTTATATCGAGGGTTTGGCATACATATTACTCTAACTTTAGCCAGGCTGAAACTGAAGTATCGTACGTTATACCGAGGACTTCGTTATATAGAGGTTCGTTAAATCAAGCTAAAAGGTTCCACTGTAAAATGCCTACAGTCAAAGTTAGCAACAATGAGATGCAAAGTATTGACGCTCTCTACTTAGTTTTGGAAAGATTTTCATAGAACCCCATGCATTAATTATGCATAGAGTGATGTAAAGAAACCTTTAAATTTAGTCGTTATGAAATAGAATGCATAATTAATGAATGGGGTTCTATGGAGATCTTTCCCTTCGTTTTAATTTTTTTTCTTCTTCATGCAAAATGGTCACTAATTTCAGGAAAAAAATATTTTTAGAGGGGAGGAGGGGGAAGGGGGACATGCAAGTAACTTTTCAGAAGGGAATTGTAAGATTTCTGTTTATTATGTTGAGTGGAGGGCGCTGTCGACCACCTCCTAAGGAAGGGGTGCCAACTGCTTTTGCCACTCTTTGCAGTTTATTCTGAATTCATTTCATATTTTGTTTTGGAATGCTTCCTACGTTGTTTCAATTAGATTTCCTGATGCCTTTGTCATAGCGCGCCTTCGTGTTTAAGACATCGAATTTACCAGCAGAAAATGTATTGAATGGTTCTGAATGATATATAGTTTTAAAAAGTTGATTCTTGGACCAAATTGAAAGTCTTTCTTCCAAGAGTAGATATTGCTACGTCACAGTTCTTCCTGCCCTACTCTTTTCGAACGTCCCACAAATTGTTTTTTCACATACAAGGGCTTGTGAGACGGGACCTCCATTTATCGTCCCTATCCGAGAAGACTAGAAAGTCTAACCATTTGCAGATTTTATTACAAAGGCAGCACTTTCTAATTAAGCGCTTTTTAATTAGTCTTGGAATTGATCGATTATTCATTTTTCTTTTCTCATACAGTGGAACCTCGATTTAACGAACCTCTATATAACGAGGTCATCGGTAGAACGAACGATACTTCAGTTTCAGCCCCGCTAAAGTTGCAGTAAAATGTATGCCACAGACCTCGATATAACGAACCAATTTCTCCAGTCCCTTGGCACTACGTTAAATCGAGGTTCCACTGTACCTCCTCGCTAGCGATATTTGTTCAGCTTGTTATCGTTTTTCGTCAGTCGCACCTAAGCTTCGCACGCTTTCTACCGCACGTAATTACGCAGTCCCACTGTATTTAAACCCATTTTTTTTAGCATGGTCACTTTTGTCATTCATTTTCTTTAAAAAGCGCACCAAGCGCAGTTTCTGTTCTAAGAAGTATTCTTCCTACAGTTATTTGCGATTTAAGGTTTATTTAGGCGTAATCAATTTTTAATCTGTTAGCTCGTTCACGTCAAATTAAAAGTTAGTGTCGAGAAGGTGGCAAATTGTTCTTGTAAACAACGCAGTGCTCTGGTACTGTATGAAATAGGCTACTCACTCATAAGTGAGTTGCTAATCACATCAAAGTTTCAATTGAAGGCAACGGTTTATGCGCTAGTGTGTATTACAAACCTACAGACTCGCATATAAT